CACTTGTGATGACGCATGCAGTGACGATCAAGCCCACGACGTGAGCCCTTAAAACTCACGACGTGAACCCTGAAATCTCAGCCTATAAATAGAAATCAAGGGTCAGCCGAGTTTGGTTGCTCATCTCTTACTCTCCCACTCCCGATACTCTCTCTAAGCCCTATTTTAACCCCCCGAAGCCCCGGTTTCATCCCGAGACCCGAAGCAAGTCCCGAAGCCCGAAGATCCCGAGAAGAAAAGAGTTTCCGAGCCGAAGCTCTGCCCGCAAGAAGCCCGGTTTTTGTGGAGATCACCCGGTTTCACCGAAGAATACTACCATTACAAGCCGTAGTGTTGTCCGATCGTCTTCTGATCAAGTGAGTGTGTAGTTACTTTCTTCTAATACATAAATACGAAATATTTACTATGAAATACGTGTTATGTGTTTATATATTGGTGTTGATTTGAAAGGGGTACATAATCTCTTTCAAATGCACGATTTTATACAAGTATCAATTTAACGTACTAAGTATATGTGTTATGCGAGTGTATCGATGTTATCTTCTAATCTCATAGATATGATTTATTCTCTATGAAATACATGTTATGTTTATGTGTCTCATCTTTTATCGGGAATGTGTTTTGAATGAACATGCTATACAGGTTTTAAATTATGTATAAAAATGTATATTTTATCTACTAAAATGTTGGGTAGAACATGGGTAGATAGTTGTCTTGTGATAAAAAGATGAGAGGCCTCGATGTTTTTGATTTAGTCATCTAGCGGAGTTTAGATGACGACCACGGACTTTTCTAGACAGTCTTGTGGAACGCTAGCAGGCTCGCCACATGTAGGTGTTAATGAACTTGGGTGTTCATTCGCTGTACTCCATCCCCATCATGGTTGCCTTATTTGACATATATTGCTGGGAAACCCCCGAATGCATGTGTTGTCGCCCCGATGAAATATTCTTAGACTAGGTCCCTTATGTTAGTTGTCTTAGGGACGTAAAGTGAGAATAACGAGAATGGGTAATTGGGTTATTGTTGGTTGGTGGAATTAAATATAAAATTATTTATTGTGGGTTGAAAACCCTATATGCTCACCAGGCTCCCAAGCCTGACCCACTCCGTTTTCTTTGTATTACAGGTAGTGGCACCAGAGCATAAGTTGGATGACTTGTCAAGTTATTTTTGGATTATAGACCTGCTGTTATATATAACTGTTGTAAGGTCTGTATTGTAATGTTTATGCTTTTGGTCTGTTTATCAGAACATGACATCCCGAGTTTTGTTATACAATAAAAATACATTTCTGTATGAAATGCTTTGGTAAATCTTATTTTATCATATTTCGTTTTGGGAACAAATTCCGCAACTCTTTTAATCAAAGGATTACTCTGAAATTGTTTTAAAAGCATAAATTAAACCGGTCTTTTCTGGCCGTGATTTTGGGGATGTCACAGTAGCAGCAGTGTTTATAGGAGCTGTTCATCATCCGAGGTGAGTCTTCTCACTATACTCTACCTAGAGTGGTAATCTTTGTGTGACCAGAGGGTCTTTATGTGCTTATATTGAGTATTGTGATATCCTGCATTATGTCTTTGTGATTTATGTTGTATATATTTCTGAGCTTACTGAGTTAGGACCGGAGGGTCCATCTGAGTTAGGACCAGAGGGTCCTCCTCAGTTGTGAGACTGGAGGGTCCCAATGAGTCACATTGACTGGATGGCCTTATTGAGCTATAGCCATGAGAGGCTAATGAGATATGTGTGGTATTTTGGGGAACTCACTAAGCTTCGTGCTTACCGTGTTATGTGTTATGTGTTTCAGGTTCCTTTCAGGATTGCGGGAAGGCGCCGACTTGATTGTACACACCAGAGAAAGAGTTATGTTTGAGGATCCTGGGTTTTATTCAACAATTGATCATGTGTTTGGTTAATTTGACAAATTGGGGATTTTTGTTAAAGGTGTTAATGATATTTATGTGAAATTAAAATGGAAAATTTGTTTGAAATTTTACGTTGTTACATAAAGAGAGCACAATTCACTGAAATTTTTTAGCAGGGAAAATTTGCAAGCTAGTATGGTTGAAAGTAATTAGATTCGAGAATCAATAAAAGAACATTCAATGATGAATAAGTGGCGTTGATGATTGCTTACAAGCCTTATTGCAAGGATTTATAGCATAAAGTTAATATTATTATAATTTTAAATGTTACATTTCTTGTAACTCTTCTCTTGCACTTTGTTATGCTTCTTTAACGAAGATCACTACATAAAAAACGGTGGGTGATTCTATTGCAAAATGGGATAATTAATTACTAAAAGTCCAGAATCAAAGTTAGGATGTTACTATTGGGTATAAGTTTTAAAGAACAACGCCTAGACATAATAAAATGAAAAATAATGCTGGTTTTTAAATGGTTTAATGGTTTAATGAATGGTCGGGTCTGTTAAAAAATGTATCAGGTATGGTAAAAAAAAATAAAAAAAATGTATGTTAATAAAATGAAAAACAATGCACTTCCAAGGTCGAACCATTAATAGAATTGTACTTCGAGGGAGTACCAACAATAGCATTACACTATCAAGATGGAACCAACGATGACAACCAACTCTCAAGGGCAACCACCAATCTTTCAAAAGCTTTTTATTGTTAGTAATAACCAACAATATCAAAGTACTCTCACGGGAAAACTCGACCAAAAAAAAAATCTTTCAAGGGCGAACCATCCAAACCAAGAGCGATCAATGGCACACCAACAATAGCATTCAACTTTCCAGCATGAATTATAAAATTACATTTGTTTAGTAAAAATCCATTTGACAATTAACCAAAATCTCTCAAGGCAAAATCGTCCAAAAGAGAACAAAAGAAGACAAACCATCCAACATGAATTATAAAAAGAACTTTTAACCAAAATTAGTCCACTTGAAAATACCTAATCATCTCTAGGGGTAAATTCGTCCAAATTAGAACAAACCAATAAGATTCCATTTGAAAATTACCTAATATCCCCTGGAATAAAGTCTTTTTATCAGAGCTAACCTGATACACATCTGAAACTAAAATCAAAGGAAAAACTATAGATGTCCAGCAACAATTCTTCGGCCTTCTTTGCCAATCAGGCTTTCTTTGTAAGGGGTTTTATTAGAACCATTCAAGAGTAACATCACCGCTTGTCTTATAAAGCCTCCTCCGCCTAAAACAAAAAAATGTAGGCATTGGATCAAGAATGCGTATGCCAAATCCATGTAAAAAGGCATAACGGTTATAAAACGTGTATGCATCATGGGTTGTATTGAATACCTTTTCCATGATAACCGTATCATTACTTTCATCGTCGTCACCTATAAAACTCGCATCCACATCACTTATTTTCACAATTTCAGATTCCAAATGACCATTTATGTCAATATCGTCAGCTATATATGTTTCAAAAGGCTGATCATCTACTTGGTTTTCTAAATTAATAATGTTGTGTATGTCCTGCATCAAGAAAAAAACAAATTCTTTCTTTATCAGTAATATTATATATAATATCAAAAACATCTTATAATTCACTAAAGGGGAAATTAAAAGCAACCGGACACAAAATAATCAAAAAGGAAAAAGCACCAAAAAGGAACGTGAGAGTTTAAAACAACCAGACCACATCTGCAACATATCATGTCGAGGAAGTTGTCGACTCTTTTCCCCAAGTTAGAACAAAACGTCGATGATCATCATAGTGATTAATTAGAGTTCGATAGAATGAAGGAATCGAATCAGTATCAACCGTGATCTTTGTATCTGATAAACATGGAAACATTATGGCGTATTTTCAGTAACAAAAAAAAAGAAACAAGTTGATTTTCTATAAAACGATAGCGTTTCAAAGGGTTCTACATCCAATCTTAACTACCCAACAACCACATATTCAATTTTCCCAAATATATATATATATATATATATATATATATATATATATATATATATATATATATATATATATATATTACGTTTAAAAAATAGATATATTTAATTATTAATAAAATCTGATTTCCTTCCGTATTTGTAATATTTTATATCATTGTATTCTTTTTAGTCTACGTTTGCGGTGTCCTAATAAAAAACACATGTCATCATTTTTAGATATTCACGAGTCACGAACGAAGAACACATCCATTTTGTATGAATGTTTTCATTTTTCAATTTTATTTGGATGTTAATGACTTTATGAATTTATGTTGAAAAACCTCTCTTTTTATGTTAATTACTTTAATCACTTTGTGATTTTATGTTGAAAAAAACTCATTTTTGAAAATGTGTTTAGCTTATTTACTAAACGGGTTATATGGGCTAGGTTCGACCCACTAACTTGTGAACCTGCGAACCCATATACTTAAACGGGTATATGGGTTGGGTTGGGTTGAGGTCTCCAACCCACCAACCCGTGACCCGTCATCCCATATATTATATGGGTTGGCTTGAGTTTATGTTTTCTGACCCGCAAACCCGATTGTCAGGCCTACAAATAAGTTAAGAGACTGAATGAGCTAATTCAAAATATATTATTGGTTTTGTAGGTTAAATGATCAAATAAACAGGTTAAAAACAACAATTTTCTTAAAAGTATGATACTACAATAAACAAATCAACGAATATACTGATGCATTGTCTATAAAAGAATAAATAATTCTATATAAACGATATTACTTTAATTTGATATATTGTCATGGTACAATGTTATAATAAAAGCAAATGAATGTAGGATCATATAAAAGAAAAAAGAAGATAAAATCGATTTATTGCTATTACATCGTTGAAACAGCCAACGAGCAAATATAATACTAGTTTATATGGTTGATACCGATGGTGTTCGTAAACCCATTGAAAAAGCAATATCACAAAATAACAAATTCATAAACTTTTTTGTGAGAGTTATGATTATTTTATGATATTTTTTCATTGAAAAATTAATCTTAGTTAAAACAAATGAAAGGTAATTTGATATTCTATACATTATTTTACAAACAAAATCGTTATGTTTATCTGGTCGACAACCAAGATTCTTGGCGATTCCATTCTACTGCTACGAAACATCCAAAATCCCAAATCCCAAATCCTACAAACTACAAATACAAACGACTTTTCAACAGTCGTCGTATCCTTGGAATTGAATCGAAGAAGATGTTGATTCGCAGACGCGTTTTCTCTATTACTCCGTCGACAACAAGTCTTCCATCTATCTCCTTCGTTTTTATTTCTACACCCTTTTTTTCTCAGATACCCCATTTATCACAGGGATCATCGACCATTCACTTGTCACGAAGATCAAGGTTTAATGCTTATGGTAATTCAAGTCTAACTTCATTCAGAAATTAAGTAAAGATAAAGTCTACTTAGTTGCCGCGACATGATTCTTAGGGGTCTGCTCATCATCGTAGTTTTGATCGTTCTGCCCCGACAATCGTATGCGTTATCCCCGGTCTATTCTTTCAGACACCTGTATGAACAAAGCAACGTACGTTTTTTGGATTTCAATTCAATTTGTGTGCAGTTTATAATTCTTTAATTCTTCAATCATGATTATTCAATATGGTTTCTAATAAGTCTAATGGTTTTATGGCTTTCAGGTTTCTCCTTCTCCTAGCCCTTCTAATGGTGTAGGTCTAGCTTCTGGTGGATCAAATTTCCAGCAATCTTGTAATAGGGCATCTAGAAGCTGCCAGCTGAAGAACATAGCTGCCTGCTTGACTTATTCTCAAAGTGGTAAATATCTTTTCACATTTTCAATCTTATTGGATGATGCTTTTGAATCTTCATAGAAGAGCCATAATGTTAGAACGTGTATAAAACATAAGATATAATAGCATTCAATGGTAGATGAAGCTGAATGTTAAAGTGATTGATTAAGCCTTCATCTTTGTGATTTTCTGTACTACAGGCATATTGTTTGGATAATTAATGTTTAATTTCTCTTGTAGTTTGTTTCATTGATTAAGCTACTCTTTTCATGCAGGCCCTGATGAAGAAATATGGCTATATGTACAGAACAATGAGAAAAACCTTTTGCATGTGAAAATTATGATCCTTCCTTCAAACAATACGATTGAGGAGATAGATTTACCAATCCACCAAATGAACAAGGTATGATTCTTTCTAGTGCTATTTTCGATGACGAGGACGAGGGCATTTACATCTTTTACACAGAAGAGAGATCGAGAGTGTGTCCTGTCCCACCTTTTTGGGTGGAACAAAAAACTGAAATTTTTGACCTATCGACATTAGTCACGGCTCAGTCAAATAAACACCAAACACAACACAGTACAACCTATCGTGTCATATACTGTCTTGCCTAACTTTACCTTTTGCATGTGTCAGATCAAGATTTCTCGAGATATATTTTATTCAAATGCTGCAATAGCATTGAATACAAGTGTAGGAGATTGTGTAATACATGCTGCAGCTCCACCACCCGAAACCAATTACCAGAAATACCCTTCTTCATATAGCATCTACATAACCCCAATCAATGGTGCATACTTTGTAATTCTGATATTTATCATTGGAGGGACTTTGACTTTTGTCAAATCAAGAATCCATAGCAGCAGGCATATTGATGGGGTTCCATACCATGAACTTGAAATGGAAAATTCAAAAGCCCTTTCATCATTAGACATGGAGGAAAATGGAACGGGAAATTGGGATGAAGATTGGGATGATGATGATTGGGGTGACAAAAAACCGGTCAAATCTGGTGGTCAAAATCCCATGAAAGTGGAACAATTGAATACAAAATTCCCGAATTCTAATGGAAGGAGAAAGGAATGGGATGATTAGTATTTTGAATGGATTTTTGCCAAAATGTAGGTAAGATGTTCACACTTTTTTTTTTCATATGTTTAGAATGATTATTAGTGTTTTTAAATGTTATAATCTTTTATAAATATAAAAGGTGTATACTAGATGTTAAAGGATTTGGTTACTAAATTTTGATACATGTAAGAAATGTTCTTTCTTTCGTTTTGTCTTAGTGATCCCTTTTGACTTTTGAGTTACGAGTATTTTTTTAAAACTATTTTGTACTAGAATTTTGTTATAAACAAATTTTAATTCTTGCAAAAATTCGAAATAGACATAAACTTTTGTGAGAATAAATGATTTTAGATGAAATAAACCACAAGGTGTAGTGGTGAACTGGTGATCACTTGGAAATTAAACACTACAAAAAGACAAGTTCGAATTTCACATGTTTTAGCTCACTTTTAAGTTGCTTGTTCTAAAATAAAAGAACTCGAGACCCTTGTCATTAACTTTTAAGTTATTATATTTTAACTAAATTATAGTTGTTTTTGTAAGTGTGTTTAACAACTTGTAATAAAAATGGCAAATGCCCAAAAAAGTCATAGATTCAATTTTGACATTGTGTTATTTTTTATCTCAAACTGGACACCACGTTTCTTGTTTGTTACAATTTGACCACTTGACTGGTAAACCCGATTGCATGCTGACGTGTCAATTTTGATGACGTGATGTTGATATGGCATGTTGACGTGTCAAAATTGAAAAAAAATATTACAAAAGAAATTAAATTTTCAAAATTTCAATTTTGATACTAATTTTTCATTTTCTTTTTTCCAATTTTGACATTCAATTATTTTGTTTCAAATCGAATATCATTTTTTCTAATTTTGTTAGTCTTTGATGACGTGACATTTCATTTTTTTTGTTCCAAATCGGATATCTTTTTTTTTTCCATTTGAAACCGCATAAATAATTTTTTTCATTTAAAAACCATATTGTTTTGTTTAAATACAAGATTTTTTACATTCAAAATTCAAAATTTAGTATGTTATAATAATTAAATAAAATAAAAGTGAACTTGAGGCAGAAATTAAACTTGGGCAAATTGGTCAAGAAATGTAAAAACAATTCCTATTGGTCATTTAGTTAAATTTATGTTGGACCATATTTTTTTTGTAGTTATCGACAAAAGTATATAAATTTAGAATGAATATAATGGAAATCAAAAAGTATACGTAAAAAATTAAATGAAATATAAAAGTTTCACTAAATAATAAACCTTCTACTTTGGAAACATGGAAATTTTATATAAAAGCATAATAGATGTGGTATAATAGTTAAAATACCTAGTTGAGACAATAGAGAAGATAATCCGATCAAGACACACCGGCTTTATAGATAACAAACTAAATATATATTAATTATATTATAACTGTATTTTTCATGTACTATTAGGATGTTATAATTTTTTTTCAACAAATCAAGAAGTATATCTACAAGAACCAAAAATCATGAATATATACAACAAACAGTCATTTGGTAATTAAAACGACTCCCGGACCTTCGTGTTCTCGAGATCACATTAGCTTATTTGAGTGTGCAATTCACACATTTAAACCCATTTTAAAGTTGTGTATTTAATGAAAAATACGGTTATAATATAATTAATACATATTTATATATAATATTATGGTTTGAATGTTAAAAATCTTGTATTTATACAAAAAATATGGTTTTTAAATGAAAACAAAATGTATTTATACGGTTTCAAATATGAAAAAAATGATTTATATGGTTTCATATGGAAAATAGTACATTGAATAAAAAAGTAGAGTGTCAAAATTGAAAAAAAAACATAGTGTCAAAATTGAAAAAAGTGAAAACTTAATGTCTTTTGTGCAATTTTTCTTTTAATTTTGACACGTCAGCAGGTAACCGGTTTGACCGGTCAAGTGGTCAGAATTGTAACAAATTAGAAACAGGTAACCGGATTGACTGGTCAAGTGGTTAGAATTGTAACAAATTAGAAACGAAATGGTCAATTTGAGACAAAAAATAACACAATGTCAAAATCGAATTTTCGTATAAACATAGTGAACTTTTGTTTTATTTATCATAATAAAAATACAAACAAAATGATTAAATAAGGTTGTTGCTTGCCTTTTCTTGGGAATTAATCATGGTTTATGCCAAAATGACAACAGAAAATATATTGGTTTGACAAATTAAGAATTTAAACAAATTATGTAAATATAAATGAATACAGAAACACTTCACTAACTTTACATTTCTTATCCAAAGTCATTTATGTTTTAGAAAGTATTGTATTTTTGCAGCTTATGATAACTCTTTGTAATGATAACACATCCCATCCCATGATAGTTTGAAAGTCAAATCATATTCAAACAAACCTTTTTTACGATCTTTATATTGTAAGTTAAAAAACTTTGATTTCTATACGATTTCATCTATGTGACAGTTGTTTTTCAAATCTATGTGACACATTTGTTTTTCAAGACAAACTGTCAACATTCTACCTCCTTCATATCCCATATAAATGGGATTCTTGAGCTTGTTGTTGGTGGTGGTGGTTGTGGTGTTGTGTTAATTAAGGCTAAGAGATATGTCACTTGACCCATTCAACTACTAGATAATTACAATTCCGGCTAGCAAAATCAACATTAACCGAAAAAGGGGAGATGTAGAATACTATAATTGCCCTTGAATATGCATTCGAATCGAGGTTTGTATGGTTCATGTGCATAATTGAGGAAGTGGGTGTTTTATGTAATGAAGAAAAAACCGTCCTTCCAAAAACAAAGCAATTTCAGATTCCACTACAAAAAGTGAGAAAAAAAAACATGGTGTCCATAATTGTCTTCCAAGAAAAGTAAAAAAAAAAAAAAAGCAAGCAAGCATGATGGATCATGTTTCTTGCACACTTTCTCTTCATTACATGATATGATTACAATATTACATATCATGCCTTTTCTATTCTTTCCATTTTGCTTTTATATATTCCAAACAAACAATCCTTTTGCAGCTTTGCTTTTACTGTTTTACCAATTATACCTTGATTTAGGTTACGAATAAAACATGATGTTTTAAAGACATAAATAGCTTATGGAAATAAGTGGTATGAGAGAATAATAAAAAAAGTATCTGACAGGATTAACTTTTTTACATTCACATGTATATTTTTACTAGATTGTTCACAGACATTCGTTATTGTAAGTATAGTGTCGTGTTTTCTAGTAATAATATTTTGTTTATAGTCTCTCTATATCACATGATCAATTCATCAAAGCTATTCTATATACGAATTTGTGACGGCCTAGTGTAAGTTGAACAATTCTAACTGAAATAATCTACAATGCCACTTTTATATTGGAATAAAGCTATAGTAATTATCAAAGTACAATCAAACTTATAACTTTTAATTGAATCTTGCGTGATTATTAATACAAAATACGGATACATGTTCATGGTGTACAATTGAACTATACTAACAAAACCTTATTGTGAACAAATTTTAATAGACAAGTGAGCTACAAACACAAGGTTGATTTATAGTATGTTTACAAAAATGTGTATGTGTGTATGAGCACTACATTAATCGATCATCACATTGTATTTCAAAATTAAAATATACATTTGAATTTTTTACATCAATATGGAAGGCAAACGGACAACAAGTTGTATTACTAACCATTTTTAGATGACAAAACTAATTCTTGTGTGTATAATTGGGTATAGATACAATGTATAAATAGGGATTAATGTTACATATTAATACCCTATAGTTTATTCTACTACTATCAAGTACATATAGTCTAATATGCCCCCGCAAACAAAGAGTTGGGAGCAACCTGCAACAATCCGATTGTTTGTGAGGATAAATTGCACTTGAAGATCTTCATGTGCAACCTTTTCTCGAACGAAGTAAAACTCGACATCCACATGCTTTATTCGTATGTGGAAAATAGGATTGGTCGAGAAATATGTCTTCAGACTCAATTGAGGAACGAGAAAACATGTGTTGTTTGCGAGCGTTCCATGAGATTAAGTTTGAACCCAGATAGATAGAAAATCCCTCCGTCGTAGGGAGAAACCTCCCAATTAGCATCGCATAAGGCTTGGGAATGTGAAGATACAAAGGATAAACCACATTTCCAACATACACCAATAAAGTTGTGAAGCATAAAACCTGATGTCTGACGAATAAGCATGTCGTAGTCATTTGTAGCATAAAGATCTCATAATAGTTGGAGCATGCGTAAATTGGAAAACCTTGTTAACCAGGATGTGATGTATGGACGAGAAAGAGCAACATATCGAAGGGCTACAACAATTTGATAGTACTTGGTTGGATCAAAATATGCTTCATTGTCCTTAATAGGGAGTGAGGTAAGCATTGTCATGGGTGATGACATGGATTTATAATCTGACAAACCATATCACCAAAGAAGCTCCATAATATATTTATGTTAAGAGATTATGATGTCATAAGCTTTGTGACCAATCTCAATGCCCAAAAAATTAAGAGGACCAAGGCCTCTCAAAGCAAAATTAGACCCGAGTCGGTGAACAACACAGTCAATGATTATAGTGTTGTTCCTAGTGAGACAACACCGTCATAAGTATTTATGATCTCATTATTCATTATCGTCAACCTTTACTTTTTGTTGATCATTCATGGGTTGCTTTACTCTAAGGTTACGCATGAGATTGTTTAATTGTTCTGAGTGTATATTTATGTCATGTTCTTTTCTAAACATATCACATGTCATTGAGTCATGATTGTAACATTCGGTGCCAGGTACAATTCAAATTATAGCTTAAAACCAAAAATTATTACATTTCTAGTCCCTACGCTTGCCGTAATTGGAGCTACGCCCCACGTAGCTCATTTGTCTTTGATCGCAGACTAGGACTCGTACATTGGGTGTACGTTGTGGTACGTTGGGCGTACTCGCGTAAGGGTCAACCCCTAATTTTCAAGGCTTGGACCCTATTTAAAGATCATTATGACCTCAAACCTGTCCTTACCTCCAACATCCATTCCTCTAAACCCTAAGA